ATTTATTAATGAGTAATGTCTCTTTTGAGTGAATGTGCAAATTTTTAATGTTAACAGGTTTTACCATGTTATTACAACATTTAACCACTTTTTATTAATTTAAAAATTTAGAAATTATTTCGAATTTAGATCTTGTACAAGAACTACAGCAAAAATCTGTTTGATGCATATTTTATCAATATTTTAGAAATTGAATTTTATTTATCACCAGTATTGACTTCAATGGATTTCATTAAATTCCTTTGAACACAACTGCTCAAAACGGTCTAAATTTATGAAACCTACACATTCAAAACATTATTACTCTGAAATTTTTTATGTAAATGTTAAGTGTAAGTGAAATGTTAAGTAATGTAAGGTCTTTCATGACACTACATATGCTGGGGTGTGAATTTGATAGGTGCTTGATATAAAATAAATGGTGCTTTAAAAAGTCCTTGAAAGTCCTTGAATCTGGTGTTCATGAAAGAGTGGGAACCCTGATTAAAACCAGTAAAAAATGGTTTCCTGTAGTGTGTTTTGGGACATATTCCATTAGGATTTAGTGGTGTTAACAAGCCACCAATAGAAGGCACCCAATTACCAGTAGAGACCCACAGGCACCATTACAGTTTCCATTAAAACCAGTACAATTCCTATTATAACCAGTAAACCCATTTCAAATTCTGTGATGTTTCTATTGTTTTGTTTTGTTTTTCAGCAGGGAGTGCACTGGAGAATTGACTCAACTGATACTGAATTTGTTGTTAACTTGTTTCTGAGTTAACACACAAATATCCTGAGTAAAATAAACCTTTTAGGATTTCATTGAATTACAGAGTTTGGCAGGAATGAGCCCTAAAACCCGGAAACAAGCTTTTTTGGACTTCGGGTTCCATGGTTTCAAAGTCAATGGGTTTTTGGTTAAATGCCTAAAATAAGGTCTGTGGTTAACACAAGCTATTTTCACATTTTATTCTGCAACACAAAATGCATCAATAATACCCTACTCGTGATTTTTAAAGCTTTTACTTGTTTTTAAAATGCACTTTTTAACAAGTGGCTAAATGGAACTATGGAGGTTTTCCGGGACATTAATTGTCATCACACACAACAGTAAAACTCATCTATTTATTAATTCACTTTTACAGCCTCATTGTGTTCATACTCGCACTCTTGCAAACTATTGCAACTTAAACTTTCCAACTCGTAGATTTTCTAAAGCATAATGGTGGTGGCTTTGAAGTATGAATGAAACAGCGCTACTCATTTAAAGCACGCCACACGGACTATTTATCCGCTCGGCTAAACGTTCAAACGGCAGCGCAACGTGAGCTCACTAGAGCAAATGCGTTTACTCGCTGATGAGTCTCAGTCACGCGAACACTGAACAGTGCTGTGAGATCCAGTGTGAAGCGCTTGAATTCTGCAAAGAGCACAAATGACTTTGCGATTTAAACTAGTTTAAAGCCAGATGAAACGGCGCGGACAAACAGGAGAAACACTGTGCACAACGATACAGTCAGAAGACTTTTCAGTCTACAAATCGCCATCATTTACCATGGATTTACTGTAGTAACACTAACTGCACCATGGTATTGTGGCAGAAATGTGGGATAATCGTTAGAAATTTGATGATATTATTAATGTAGACATGAATGAAATGTATTAAAGGAGTAAGGAAATATAATTTCAGTATTTTTCGTGATTAAGCTATAGCATTCGTGCATTAATACTAAATGTATTTAGACTACTGTTTTTCATAAAAATACCTAATAATCATATATATTTGGCCATATCGCCCATCTATACGTTGAAGTCATGCTTTTACTTCTTTATTTGGGCTTGAAAATTCATAAAAGTTGTATTAATTTGTGGAGTGTTATACTATGTTAGAATAATAAACTTTTGTTGGTCACAGAGCTCATTTTCTGGAATAATCCAAAAGCCAATGTAAAAACATTATTGGCTTTTTGTTGAGGAAACCAGGGGGATGCGAACTTCTGGGATGGCCTACAAAAATGCATGATCCCTGAAGCACTCTATTATTGATAGTTCTTTTGTTGTTGTTGTTTTTTGATAGATTTCTTTCACTTTGTCCACCATCTTGGATTTATTTTTTGGAACAGCCTGAAAAACCCTGACAAAACTCACAAGATGTTTTCTTGTGTTTGACATTTGTGTTGTATCATTGAGTAAGTGTGTATTTCCTGTTACTGAATATGTAAATTCCTGAATCTCTTGTTGAAAATACCGTTAACAGAAGCTCTTTCTGAAAGCTGGCTGAATGTGCCAAACGCTCTACACTTGGCCTGTGAGGTTTCTGCAATGACGTAAATAAAGTTGGACCAAACTCACAGCAGTTTCAATTCAATCAGCTCTTTGCCACTGTGCTTTTTACCACATATTTGGCTCTTCTTCAGGCTGCAAAACATGAGGAACCTTTATCATGTAGCTCTGTGGTCAAATCATAATCCAAATATTGTGGCAGTTTTTGGACTTCAGTGGTGCACAAACATGGATGACGGAAGCATAGAGAAAAACAAAATGATATAGGAAAAATCAGGACCTGGGCCTCTGTTCTTTGAAGAAGTTTAGAGTGACTTTCTTAAAATGAAAGTTGTCCCCAGTTGACGTCCCATAATTGATACACCAAATAGTTATTTTATACCATCCAAAAGTGCAATATTTTTAACATCCTTTTTTGATGTAAAATTGATGTACCAGTCTTGAAGACTTGTTCACTGTTACTGTATCTTCACAGGCCTCCAAATTCAAATAATTGTGCCCTTTGGTGCCTGAACCTGCTGTTACATCAGCAAGATTTTGTTTTTTCTCTTAGTCATTGCAAGTTCTGTCCTTTGATCTTGAGTAATAACCTTTAAATAAGTATATTACCGAATTATTGGTACAATATCGATCAATATTGAATTTTTCTATTTATCAGATATTGGATATTTAATTGTTCATTTTCCCTATTTTTACATTCAGATTTCTTTTTTGTCATCTAGCATTTAAAAAATTTTAAACCGCTAATAAATTAAATTAAGCTTTATTTTATTTTTATTTATTTTTATTTCATTTTTTAATTTAATTGAATTTAATTATTTTATTTTATTTTTTATTTTTTTAAGGTATATATTTAAAACAAGAAAGGAATTGCCAGAGTTATACGAGGAAAAAAAAACTTAATTCCAGAGGGTTTTTTTAAAATATATTTATATTTTATTATCATTGAGGTACTGTTATAGTTTTATTCATATTTTGAATTAGTTTTTTTCTTTTATATTTTCTGTTGTCATTTTAATTTTAGGTATATTATACTTTTAGAAATTTGTTTTTGTTTTTTTGTTAGTTTTTTTATATGTCTATATAGTTTTCATTTTTTAGTTTTAGTTATATTAGAACATCGACATAAACTAAATAAAAATTGTTGCCTTAAATAAAAAATTTAAGTGTTTTTATATTTTATTTCATTTCGGTTAAAGTTTATTTTATTTCAAGTAAAAAAATGTTTTTGTTTTAATTTAGTTAACTGCTCAATTTAATGTGTTATGCTCATTTTACAGCTAAATTTATTTTGTTTTAATAGTATCAGTACCAGCCAGAATATTAAATCGGTGCATTTTCTTCACAACTTGTCTTGAATTATGTATCTGTTTACCTATATTTTAATATTTGTCTATATCTCACCCTCTCAGAGCCGCCGCCCCCGACCACTGCAGCCCCCACCACCACCAGCACCACCAAGTCCATCCTTCCTGACACCACCTTAACCATCACAGCTCCCATCAACCACCATGCCCACTTCACCGCACCAACTCAGGCCTCTCCTCCGGACAGCAGTCTGGGCACTATAGTGGGCGGTGCTGTCGGTGGGATCCTGATCCTGGTGTTGCTGATGGCGCTGGCGGGGGCTTTCTACATGCGTCAGCGCCGAACATTCAGAGGAGACTACTACACCAAACAGTACATCGGCCCATCCGACATGCAAAAAGAGTCGCAACTGGACGTCCTTCAACCCCATGAGCTTCAGGACGTTTACGGAGACGACTCGGGCAACGGAAGCCAAGACTTGAAGCCCAAACCCGAAGGAGACATTATCTATCCCGATTATCCCAGTGACCACAAAGACATGGAGGGCTGGGGAGACAATCTCAGCCTTCAGAGAGAGGGAACATATTACTCCGACCACCACAACCATCATAATGTGAACCCCAGTGGGCCGCCGCTACACAACGGCTCCCCTTACCTGCAGGATGAGTGCTACGACAACGGCACAGACAGCGACTATGTGTCTCACGTGGATGGTTCTGTGATTTCACGCAGGGAATGGTATGTTTGAAAAGGCAGGGGAACTTTTACTGGACAACAATAATTTAAAATCAGCAAGAAAGTGTTATTTAACTCAGCAGAGTGAGATAAAGTGTACGTTATAAATGTATTTTATGTATTCTTCATGCTTGGTTTACGATTTCATCCTCACGTTTTACACATGGCAAATGGCTGTAATTTACTGCAGATATGTTCTGGATGGTTTTCGTTCGGTGGACTGCTGTGACTTCAGGATGTAAAGGGAGAGGTTTACATGGTTTATGATCATAGGGTGGATTTACACAAAGAAAACAAGTCTGCTAAAATTAAGCTACACTGTGTGCGTAACCATTCCAGTTACCACATTGCACATGACTGTTAGCTTTAAAACCAGATGCAGCGTATTCTTGGTACCTTCCGCTCACTTTTTTTATTAAATGTATACATATGACTTCTCCAGTGTAGGAGCAAAACATGACTTTATTTTCACATGAAGAGACACATGAACGGAGTTTGAAAGTCTTGAGTCTTACGTTTTGATTGCAGGATTTTTTTTCTTCTTTTTAATCAGTATTTTGAAATACTTTGAAAAAAACTATCTACATTTCTTACATTTACTACATTTATTACATTTACATTTAATCATTTAGCAGACGCTTTTATCCATAGCGACTTACAAATGAGGAGAACAATAGAAGCAATCAGACGAACGGGAGAGCAACAGTATACAAGTGCTATGACAAGTCTCAGTCTAGAACAGTACACATAGCTATGGTTTTTTTTTGTATTGGTGCAGCGCCAGTTGTTGTCTTGTAGGCAAACATCAGTACCTTGAATTTGATGCGAGCAGCTACTGGTAGCCAGGTGTAACGTGAGCTTTTTTCGGCTAAAGACCACTCTCGCTGCTGCATTCTGGATCAGTTGCAGAGGCTTACATCTGTGCATCATTTGTGCATGATAGTACATGCGGGAAGGCCTGCCAAGAGAGCATTACAATAGTCTAGTCTGGAGAGAACAAGAGCTTTGACAAGGAGTTGTGCAGCTTGCTCTGATAGGAAGGGTCTAATCTTCCTAATGTTGTATAAGGCAAATCTGCAGGACCGGGCTGTTGTAGCAATATGGTCTGTGAAGCTTTACTGATCATCGATCACAACTCCAAGGTTCCTGGCTGTCCTGGAAGGAGTTATGGTTGACGAACCCAGCTGTATAGAGAAGTTGTAATGAAGTGCTGGGTTGGCTGAGACCACGAGCAGTTCTGACTTAGCAAGGTTGAGTTGAAGGTGATGGTCCTTCATCCAGCTAGAAATGTCTCGCAGACAGGCTGCAATGCGACCAGCTACCGTCGGATCATCTGGCTGGAATGAGAAGTAGAGTTAAGTGTCATCAGCATAGCAGTGATAAGAAAAGCCATGCTTCTGAATGACAGATCCTAATGATGACATGTAGATGGAGAAGAGAAGAGGTCCAAGCACTGAACCTTGAGGAACCCCAGTAGCAAGAATTTGTGACTTATGGCGCTTTTCCACTGCGTGGTACGACTCGGCTCGGCACGGCTCAGTACGGTACGGCACGGAACGGCTCGGCTCGGTTTGTGTTTCCACTGCAGTTCAGTACCGCTTTAGAGTGAAACATAGAGAGTTGGTTGAACACAACTCGCTCAAGTGTCTTTGCAATGAACGAAAGAAGGGATACCAGTCTGTAGTTTTCTAAAAGTGCTGGATTTAGAGAGGGTTTCTTAAGCAGTGGCGTTACCTGAGCCTGCTTAAATGCTGTGGGAAATGTACCAGTGTAAAGTAGAGGTCTTCTCGGGTCCTAAAATCTGTACCCGACCCGAATTGACCTGAATCACTTCTTACCCGAACCCGACGTGCATAAATAATTTTTTTTTAAAGAAAAACCCGACCCGAGACCCAATGAAATTAGACCAGAGTCCGACCCGACCCAACCGCATTTATTTTCGAACCCGACTGGACCCCAACGTAAATGGCATTGACGTGTGTACAGCCTGCAGCCCTGCAGTCAGTCAGGAAAAATCCCGGTGTCCTGCTGACTGATTTGGCCGCTTCTCCATTAGGCAACTTTGATTTATTTAACATTTATTCAATGTATTATTAGGCTACTTTACATTAGTGCCTACCTGATGGAGACAAGTTATTTCTGAGCTCGGCTTTCAATTGTGACCAGTGGATTTGAAAAATAAACGTGATAGTTTGATAAAAATAAATCGATAGCCTAATAATTCATGGATTCGCTAGTGTTGTCTGCAAGGAATTCGGGTCTAATCGGGTCCATTTGGGAAAAACCCGAGGCTGCTAATACCGAACCCGACCTGTGTCTGAGGTACTGGTCGAAGTTTTGGACCCGAACCCGCTCGGGTCTCGGGTCGGACCTCGGGTTTTCGGATCCAAGTGGACCCGTGAAGACCTCTAGTGTGAAGAGATGTGTTGATAATGTGAGTAAGCGCAGGTATGGCTGAAGAAGAAATGGCCTGAAGTATGTGAGTGGGGATAGGATCAATTGGACAGGTAGTAGGATGATTGGAAAGGATAAGTTTGGAAACGTCCGTTATTATTTTAAGCATTAAAAAAATGCTTATTATTTTAAGCACAAAAAAAACACATTTTTAGGTTTATGTTTAAAACAAGAAAAAATGGCAGTGGGGTAAGAAAAATAAACATAAATATGTATTATGCTAAGTTTACTTCTTAGCTAAATTTATTTCATATTTAGCTAATATATTAATATTATATATTCTCAAGAAAATGTATCTTATTTTAAATATTAATATTATTAAAATAAGATACATTTTTTGAAAAGCAAAAATTGTGTGAGATTGTATAGAGAATATTAAAAAATGTTGTTTTAGTGTTCAATGGAAGAAAAATTTTATCGTTGTTTATAATAAAACAAGTTTTGTTTAAAACAACAACAAAATTGCCAGTCGAGTAAGAAAAATAAACTTAATTCAAAATGTACTGTGCTAATTTTACTTACGGCTTAATGTATTTCATACATTTAAATAATAAACATCGGACAGCCATGTTCTCCGATATATTAGAATATATTAATATTATAATAAATAATATAAATATCTTTAAGATATTTTTTGAGAAGCAAAAATTGCATAAAATAGCATACTTTGGTGTTCCATGAAAGAAAGTTTTTGCATTATTATTATTGGTATTGGTACACTCTAAAAAATGCTGGGTTGTTTCAACCCAATGTTGGGTCAAATATGGACTAACCCAACTGTTGGGTTAAATTTTGGTTACATTTTTAAATTAGCTTTTTAACCCAACAGTTGGGTTAGTCCATATTTGACCCAACATTGGGTTGAAACAACCCAGCATTTTTTAGAGTGTATTGTTATTATTTTAAGCATTAAAAAAATGCTTATTATTTTAAGCACAAAAAAAACACATTTTTAGGTTTATGTTTAAAACAAGAAAAAATGGCAGTGGGGTAAGAAAAATAAACATAAATATGTATTATGCTAAGTTTACTTCTTAGCTAAATTTATTTCATATTTAGCTAATATATTAATATTATATATTCTCAAGAAAATGTATCTTATTTTAAATATTAATATTATTAAAATAAGATACATTTTTTGAAAAGCAAAAATTGTGTGAGATTGTATAGAGAATATTAAAAAATGTTGTTTTAGTGTTCAATGGAAGAAAAATTTTATCGTTGTTTATAATAAAACAAGTTTTGTTTAAAACAACAACAAAATTGCCAGTCGAGTAAGAAAAATAAACTTAATTCAAAATGTACTGTGCTAATTTTACTTACGGCTTAATGTATTTCATACATTTAAATAATAATAATAATAATAATATCTTTAAAATAAGATAAAATTTTCTTGATAAGAAATTACATAAGATTGCATAAAGAATATTTAAAGATTTACGTTGGGACAAAGTTTTTGTATTATTATTATTATTATTTAATTTATCTTTTTTTAGGTTTATGTTTAAAACAAGAAAAAAAATTGCCAGTGGCATTAAGTTTATTAAATTATTTTATGAAAAAATAAATGTAATTCAACTATGTTATGCATTTTTTCCTTCTCAGCTAAATTTAATTAATTTTAAATGTGTAAATATTTTTTTCTCTCTGAAAAAAGGACAAAAATACTGATTAACAAATTTTTTGTAGAAATACAGTTTGTTTCACTCGACTCAACACATGCAATTTAACCCAGCTGGTCTATTTGATGTATTTCATCACACCCCTCCTACAGCAGTGTCTTTTTCATTAATGGATAAGTTAGAGAGCAATGGAAGCAGTCCTGGAAGAACGGTTTTATGTGGTTGTGCTGAGGACCTGTCATAGGCTGATGGGGGGTTGACGTTCACCGAGACAGATCAAAAGGACCACGGTCAGCCCCAGTGGTTTTACCGAAGCCATGTGGCCTTTGCCAATTTAGTTCACTCCTTTTAATTTTGTACTGATTTCTTTTTTCTGTCCATCTCTCCACCCTTGTTACTCATACACTCCCATCCCTGTGTCGAGAGCTTCAGATTTCCCAGAATAAACTGTCTGGCGCGCAGCAGACATGTGCCGCATGGGCTTCCTCTAGCATGCCTCAACTCAAAGATCGAACTTTGTAATTAATATTTTCTGCCCTCTTGCAAACAGACCTCGTTCCATTCCGTCTCCGAGTTGTGCCGAGCATCTGTTCTCAAGCACGCAAGGTTGTTTTTCTCCATGGGTCTCGATGGTCACACATTGCATGCCTGTTGAAAAAGATACGGCATTTGCTAATGCTTGGATTCATTGTTCATAAATCAGCGGCTATGTTGCTACAGCTGCAGTACAGTCTGTTTTGTGTTTTCAAGACAAAAAAAATCTTTTTTTTGTTCAACAGATTGGGCTGCTTCCCATCTGTATCTTAACGGGACAGTTATTTGTATCGCTAATTATTAGAAAGAAAGTCTTGAATCATGTTAAAAAGACCATAGCTTAAGAGTTTACCACACTGTAAAAGAATTTGGAGGACAAAACTCAGCATTTTATGTTCATTGTTGCATCGAAAATTTTCAGTTAGCTCAGCTAATGAACAATGCATAAATCAATATAAAATTTAATTTTGACATCCAGAATTTTTTATAGTGCGTTTAACCCCCGTATTTTCATTATTGTAATTGCCTTTTTTCTCATTTCACCTAGAAAGGTTCAAAACACACACACACACACACACACAAATCTTTTTTTTTTAAATTATTATTATTTCTTTTTTTTCTGACTCTTGCATGTGTGGTCATTGTAACACAATTTCATGAAGTTGTAAAAATGTACAAAGCTGCACATTTACTACATAAAACACTACATTTCTTCCTTTTGAATGCATATATATTTACAAGCATAGTGCCTTTGGCCGTACATAAAATGATCAGATATTTATTTTTTCACCATTCAATGACGCGCTTTTTTTCGGTTCTGTATTCCCGAAGTGTTATTTGTGTTCCTGTTATTACTGGATTTTCTGGATTTGCCTTTCTTTAACAAGACGACTCTTGTTTTTGCAAGTTTAAA